CAGATAATTATAGAAACCTATTAGGACTATTATACATGTGGTTTAAATAGGGTAGTATTGTTTGATAGGTCAAACCTTTCGTATATATATAAATATATTTAGATTTGTAGAGCTTTTATTGGTGAGATGGCTTGTGGAGGGACTGCTTCGTGAACAAAGGAGAAAAGAAAGAGAAAAGGAAGGAGGAGAAAAGAAATAAAGAGTTGAATTCATTAAATGTATGAATTTATTACTTAATTTATGGATTTTATATTTTATTCAATCACATAGTGTTAGATTTATCATAAGTAGTAATATTGATGAACATAAATGGGTTTTAGTGAAAGATGCTAATTTAGTTATGTTTAGACTTAATTTAGACCGGTTAGCATTAAAGTTTTAAGGAATTTAATCAACGTGTAAAAAGGGCAAAAAAAAAGGGGGGGGGGGGGAAAGAAAGTTACTAGATCCATACGGTTGAAGAAGAACAAATTCAAAAATTATAAGTAGCTCCCATTTAGTTTTAAAGAGTTTTATTTTGACCCTTTTATTTTTCTAAACTTAATTTTGACTAACTTTTTACTTCGTAAGTTGCAAGAATAGAATTTTGAAAAAATTTATGACTGCCTTGAAAACAGAAAATTCATTTTTCAAAGAACTTACACTTTGACCCAAAAGTTTCAAAAATTATGATTTGACCCTAGAACTTTAGAAACTTTTTTTAAATAGTCCAGAATACTTCTATACCCTATTACCTCATATTAGAAAGGGTATTTATATGTAGAGGATATATTAAGTATATATCAATGGATAGGAAGTACGTATATTAAATATAAAATTGCGAAATGACAAAGTTAGGAATAAAGATTGATCGCTATATGTTATTTTGGATTAAGTGGTGATTGTATTGAATTGAGAAAGAGGGCTTTGAATTGGATTTTAGGAATTAAGGCGAATAGTTTATTACTTCTTTTGAGAGGATTTTCTATATTAAATGTGTGGGTGCGTGCGTGTGAATTTTTCATGTATATGATATATGTGTTGATGTTTGGGGTTGCAATTAAATGTTTTGAAATTGTGAACTGTTCTACATGTGAATTTTGAAAAACTTGTGGGATGATTTTATATCATTAATTTGGTGTTAAAAGAAAAATTTTGTGTGCGTTGGAACTAAAACTACAATTTTTGTGTGTATGAAAATCATGTTTATGAAACGGAGACTGGATTACCAGGTCTAAGTGGTAACAAGCGACTGGGCCAGTCATCAGACTAGTGATGACAAGAGGCTGGGCCACTTATTAGGCTAGTGGTAACAAGAGACCGGACCAATCATCAGATTAGTGGTAACAAGAGATTGAATTAGTTATCAGGCTAATGGTAACAATAGCTTGGTACAAATGTATTTGTTTTGTTACTAAACTTCTTGAATTTCATGTGGTGGTGGAATAATTTTAAATTAATAAATTATATTTAAGAGTTTTTTTGTCTTATGTTGTAATGCCAGGAATTTTTATTGGATTCAAGAAGCCATTGAATGCATAATTAGCAGTATTTTGCTTTGTCAACTTCATACACTTTGTATTTCTAAAAAATATAATCAAAATTTTATGATCTAAATTTTTTCACGTGCAACGCATGTGTGCATTACTAGTAATATAAAATAGGACAAACTTTAATAAGTTTATCTGACAGTCTCACATAGACTAATCCAACAGCTACTAATATCTCTCTAAAAATTATTCACATTGCACCGTACCTTCAGACACAGATTATCCCTAATAAGTTGTCAAAAAAGCTCCATTAAGCTGGAAGTACCAAATTTTAAATATTATCTCCAAAGTGAGACACGATATCCGCAATTAATGAAGAATGTTATTTAGATTTAATTTGTTAATTTAATTATTTTTTTTGCCTTTAAATTGACAATAAATTCTATTATTAAGTAACTCATTATCAATTTAATGACTATGATATATTAAATCAATAAATAAAATTAATTAATTAAAGTCCAGTAACGTTTTTCACAATTAATATTATGTTGTTTGGATCAAAATGTAGTACCTAAGGAAAAAAATGAAATAACAATAATAATAATAAGTTGGATTTGAGAAGTTTTAGACTTTTATTTGACTTGGGATCTATTCTTATGGGCTTAGGGATATGCTTTGGAAATCAATAGAGATAATTTAGGTTTTTGGGTGTAGGAAAAAATATCAGATAATTATAAAAACCTATTAGGACTATTATACATGTTGTTTAAATAGAGTAGTATTGTTAGATATGTCAAACCTTCGTATATATATAAATATATTTAGATTTGTAGAGCTTTTATTGGTGAGATGGCTTGTGGAGGGACTGTTTCGTGAACAAAGGAGAAAAGAAAGAGAAAAGGAAGGAGGAGAAAAGAAATAAAAGAGTTGAATTCATTAAATGTATGAATTTATTACTTAATTTATGAATTTTATATTTTATTCAATCACATAGTGTTAGATTTATCATAAGTAGTAATATTGATGAACATAAATGGGTTTTAGTGAAAGATGCTAATTTAGTTATGTTTAGACTTAATTTAGACTGGTTAGCATTAAAGTTTTAAGGAATTTAATCAACGCGTAAAAAGGGCAAAAAAAAAAAGGGGGGGGGGGGGAAAGAAAGTTACTAGTTCCATACGGTTGAAGAAGACCAAATTCAAAAATTATAAGTAGCTCCTATTTAGTTTTAAAGAGTTTTATTTTGACCCTTTTATTTTTCTAAACTTAATTTTAACTAACTTTTTACTTGGTAAGTTGCAAGAATAGAATTTTGAAAAAATTTATGACTGCCTTGAAAACAGAAAATTCGTTTTTCAAAGAACTTACACTTTGACCCAAAAAGTTTCAAAAAATATGATTTGACCTTAGAACTTTAGAAACTTTTTCTAAACAGTCCAAAATACTTCTATACCCTATTACCTCGTATTAGAAAGGATATTTATATGTAGAGGATATATGAAGTATATATCAATGGATATGAAGTACGTAAATTAAATATAAAATTACGAAATGACAAAGTTAGGACTAGAGATTGATCGTTATATGTTATTTTGGATTAAGTGGTGATTGCATTGAGGTTGAGAAAAAGAGCTTTAAATTGGATTTTAGGAATTAAGACGAGTAATTTACTACTTCTTTTGAGAGGATTTTCTATATTAAATGTGTGAGTGCGTTCGTGTGAAGTTTTCATATATATGATATATGTGTTGATGTTTGGGGTTGCAATTAAATGTTTTGAAATTGTGAACTGTTCTACATATGAATTTTGAAAAATTTGTGGGATAATTTTATATTATTGATTTGGTGTTGAAAGGAAAATTTTGTGTGCGTTGAGACTTAAACTACAGTTTTTGTGTGTGTGAAAATCATGTTTACGAAACGGAGACTGGGTTACCAGGTCTAAGTGGTAACAAGCGACTAGGTCAATCATCAGGCTAGTGATGACAAGAGGCTGAGTCACTTATTAGGCTAGTGGTAACAAAAGACGGAGCCAGTCATCAGGCTAGTGGTAACAAGAGACTGGATAAGTTATCAGACTAATGGTAACAATAGTCTAGTACAAATGTATTTAGAACTAAATGTGTGTGTGAGTGTTTTGGATTATAAATGTCTTTTCATTTATAAAGTTATTTGTGATCATGAAATTATTTTGTTTAAATGATTATGTGAGAGGGGTTAGGTACAATTTGTTGTACTTATATGTGTATTAAAGTTTATTTTCGTATATAAACTGTAATATTTATTTTCACACTTCATTAGAGGTGTTTGTTATTCACGGGTCATTGTCCTCATCCAAACATTTAACATTTTTTTTTAGATGAGTGTCAAGGTGATAAGTAGTTCCACAGATAGATAAGTGATTAGAGAAATCGAAGATTTATTTTATTGTAGGTATTCAGGAATAAAAATCTTTTATAGTTTTGAGACAAATATTTAATTATTTTTGGAATAATATTGTTTATGTTTGGAATAGTAAACCTTATGGTTTAATTATTATTTTATATTAATTTAATAATAATATTAGTAATGTTTAATTTTTTTCTCTGGTATTCATTAGGTCGATAAAATGAATTACTTTATTATTTATTTTTCGCTATATTTTACATTTATTATATATAAGATTGGTTAGTTAAACCCTTAGTAGTCGGTACGCCGCCCATGTGATCCCGGTGGGAGTGTGACAAGTTCAAAATGTGTGCCATTGAAGCTTTAAAACCTTAGGGCCCAGTAACTAGAGGAATTGCAAACCAAATGGGATCTTTATTGTTGACCGTTCTAGTAACCAATGCAGTGCACATCTGCTGTATCTCATCCAAAGCACTTCTTGGACTACGCAAATCACATTCAATAGTACAAAGAATTAAACAAACAACTTTTTGAACAAAACAATAAAACTTATGGACAACATTTATTACTACTTTTAGACTGGATATAAACGACAGCATCGACTCCTCCCTAAGTTTCACATACTAGAAGGATCTTCCGAGTTCCAACTCAGTTGAATGATAAATATCTTTCATTTAGCAAATTTAAGCTCAAAAAAACGATTACAATCCACTCACGCGATGGGTTCGAGACCCAGTTTAAGGGTAAGAAGCTAGAATGACTACCCTTAACCCAATGAGCAACTTTGTTACAACTAAGACGCCGCTGAAACGAGAGAAGAGTGAGGACGAGGGAGATTGCAATAGCAGAGTAGGATTACCGTTTTCCACAATTGCTCCAGTTAATTGCAATCTCTCTGCTATTAGAGAGAGATTGCAAGCATGTTTAAATCGCAAATATATACTAATTTATAGCTATGTACACAACTTTTACCAGTCAATAGAATTGAAAAAATGCTCTAATTATTCGAAAACAAGGGAGAGCCTAACCCTGAAACGACCACCTCCAACATTAACAAGATAACTAATTGCCAGAGAATTTGATCAGAAAATTGATCTAAACAATCATATTTACCAACAAAAAAAAAAGGGATTATGCAAGCCTATGGATGATCTTCGCTGCAAAAGATTGAAACTTTACCATATGTCTGGGTAATTGATTTGAAATTATCAATATCTCAATACAGGAAAAAAAAAATTGCAGACATACCTTCAAAACTGGCAAACTCAAACATCGAAGTTGAACGGTTTATATATGTACAATATTAGTATTTCTCTGAGTAAAATTAACAAACATCTGACCCACATGTTTCCTTTCCTTTTTTTTTTTTTTGACTCGGTGTATATCAGAGGTGGTTTTGGGGATGATGCTGTGGAAGCCTAAATCGGACCTGAGACGCCGGAGATTTAACGGCGACGCCGTGCCAACAGATACCACCCCGACACATCTCGTGGGCGTGATCGCGTGTCATCGCATACGTGGCTTTACGGGAAACGTCCCACGTCAGAGTCGCAATCAAGATAACCCCAATCACAGCCGTCGATATAATCAGCACAAACCCTCCACTGAAGCTCCGCCCTGTTACCAGCCCATACGCCTTGATCGCCGCTATCACCGCCAAGTACATCGTCGTCAAGTTCCCAACCACCGCATCAGAGATCGCCATAGATACCTCTCTCTCTCTTGAGTGTAACGAGTCTTCTTGGGAATGTTGGGATGGGGTTAGTTTTACACGGAGTGACTGTCACGAAATTGGGTGATTTTGTCAGGTCGTCTCTGCCTCTGTCTCTCTTTGAGCTTATCTTCTTCTCCTTCGGTTTTTGGTGATTTCAACAAATGAAAGTGAAAGGTACCTCGCATCATCCACTCACTGTTGTAACTTTGGCTCATTTTTGACAGTCCAAATATGACATGACACGTGTCACCGACTTGCTGTCCAATATAAATGACCTTGTTGCATACGTGGCTGTGCTACATTCCTTTGTCCACGTGGTTATGTTTAAGTTGCGAAATTTATCAGGGTTTAACATAAGCACAACAGCACTGTCATGTATATTATGTATTGTCAATAAAAAATTATATGCATATCAAGTGACAGTTCTCCTTGTTTGGACAGCCCAATGCACGACGTCGTTTTGTCATTTCGCTTACTAAATACAAACTAATTTATGCTATTCTATCTTTAAATAAAATATCTCATTCTCAATCAATTTTACCATTCATACACTTTCCACATATTAACAATCTATTCGATTCACATGCTACTAAAATCAAATAAAAAAGCCTCTATTTTTATTTTAAAAAACTAGTAATTATCTATGCCTGAAGGCATAGAGTAATCAAAATTGATAAACAATAAACATATTTGTATTTATATCTAAAATTAAATCACGAACATAGAAAAAAGATAAATGAATTTAAGTATCGATTTTATAGTGGGAGTGAGAGGTGGTGGGTGACAATGATGGTGGTAGGAGACGGGTGATGATTGTGGTGGATGGCAATAACCGTGATGGTGATGGCGATGGTGGCGGCGACGGTGGTGACAATGAGGGCGACGGCGATGGTGGTGGTGGACGACTGTGGTGATGGTAAAGGACAGTGATGGTTTTGGTGGATGACAATGACTATGATGGTGGTGGCGGTGGCGGTGGCGGTGAGGGTGACGACAGTGGTGGGTTTGGTGCTGGTGATGGCAGCGGCAGCGGCGGCGGTGGTGGCGGCGACAGTGGTGGTGGTAGAGGTAGTGGTGGAGCAATTTCAATCACTATTTGTTTTAAGTATTTATGAAAAATAATTTGTAAAAGTACTTTTAAAAAGTCACTCCAAACACACTCATAAGGACTTATTTTTCCTATTAAATTTAGGATGTTAATATTAACCGTTAGATTAACTTTGAAGTAAAATTTGAAGCGATCTCAACAGCGAATTGTAAAAGTTATTTTATTTATCTTTTAAGATTTGAATTATAAAATATTTTATTATATAGATATACAAATAGAATATCAAGAAATAAAAATCTCATTTTTTTAAAACATACCAGCTGAATGAGTTTATTATGATATCCGTGTTTAACAGATATTTTCAATAATTCATATTAATAATTGATTGTTAAAATTTATTAATTTCATATTAAATATTCTATCGAGATTGGTATGACTAATTGGCAGTTAGAACTTGGCAATCATGGGCGGGTAATAGCCAGCTTTCTATTGGCACTACGCTTTGATTTATAACATATAATATTCAAGTTTTATGAGTAATACAGCGACCCTTCTCCAACCCTGTGTTAATTAGATAGATTTTTGCCCGGGGGGGGGGTATTTTTGTATCTAATTAACAGCATGACCCATGCTACTTGAATTTCAATATTAATTGAAATTTTCAATTAATTTAATAATTATAATAAATTAAATTTATAAATTATAAAAATAAATTAAGGTTAAACAATATTATTCACAAGGAACAGTCTTCATATTGAAGTGCGTCTGTGTATTGTATAAAGTGTACAATGCAACTCCAGTGAATAGCCTCAATTAGTAATAGAGACGAGTTATAATTCGAATTAATCTCGTACTTTGCATTGAAAGGGATTTATATTGGAGTAATACATTAAATATTTAACAAGTGTATGCTTTAAGCAAGTACTTTTTATGATTACTAATTGATATCTTAGTGTGTTGCATGTAGACAATTGATACAAAAAATAATTTACTCAATTTTTCTTTTCAATAAAGCATTGCATAATTATTGCTTTGATAAATAAATTAAAAAAATAATTTATCACATAATTATCAATATCGTTAATAATTCAAAATCATACAAACTTGAAACTTTCATTACATTTAATTCTTGGATTATTTCTTATGTTTTACATACGATTTTGACACATTTTTTAAACAATTTCCTAAACTAATAAGAAAACTGACTTTACACTTGATTGTTAAACTCTTGTTGAAGATTGTTTTCCTTTTGCTATGTTACAAGAGATCATACACACATTCCTAAGTTTAAATACACACATTCTTTGTTGTCTTCTTGAATATTCCTTGTTGAGTAATAAACTAAGTTGAATAACCCCATTGTATAAGACGTAACAATCAATTTAAAGATTATATACCTTTTGTGAAATTGCCACAAATCCAAAATCAATGTACAAAATTTGAAAAACAATCTTGACAAAAAGACACCTAAACTCTGCCCATAGAACATGAAAACACTCCTATTTAAAGCACTCGAGTCAAAATACAAAATCAATTCGTAGCAAGCAGATATTCAGGCCATGCAACGAACATAAAACGATTAGAAATATACCATTATGATACAGGATTATTATAACAAAAGCAATCCAATGGAAATGGTACTTGTTTCTAGTAGTTCTCGTCCCCATGGCCATGAGAGGCATTGCTAAACTGGAGCATAAAGGAATAAAAAAATCTACAAAAGCTGCTGCTAAATCCTGTAATGGGAAAACTATTGAGTACCACAAACAAACTGAAAGAGAGAAATAAACGGAGAATTACGCTCAAATCTTTTAAAGTTTGTCATTTAATCATTCAAATTCTTTGATATTTAAAATATTATACATAAAACCTCTGAAGTTTGTACGCACATAACACTTAGACCCCCTGAAATTTGTGGGTATATAATACTTAGATCTGTTAAATTTAAAATATTATACTTAGACAAAAAATACTCCAATCAAATATCAAATATCAAATATTTTAAATTTTATAACTAAAATTCATGTTTTATTGTATCATTTATTGAAATAAATTCAAAAATAAAAAATTCAATTTTTTCTTAAAAAATTATAATTAATATACAATTATATTGTCTATTAAAATTTAATTTAGTCGTTTAAATGACCAAATTAAAACACTAAACTACCTCAATTAAATCTAAAAGATATTGTATCTATTACAATTTGATTCTTTATTTAATTTTTTAGTTTTGTTCTGATAGACAGTATAAATATATACTAACTATGTTTTTTTTTAAAATAAATTTTTATTTTTGATTTTATTTCAATAAATGACATAATAGAATATGAATTTTGGATGTAAAATTCATGTTCTATCATGAATGACTTAGACTTATTGTTTAATTTTTTAGTTTTATTCTAATAGATAATATAATTGTATACTAATTATGATTTTTTTTTAAAATTAAAAATTATTTTTAATTTTATTTCAATAAATGATACAATAGAACATGAATTTTGATTGTAAAATTTAAAATATTTAATATTTGATTGAAATTTTTTTAGTCTAAATATAATATTTAAATTTAAAGGTTCTAAGTATTATATATCCACAAATTTTAAGGGAGTCTAAGTATAATTTATTAACAGATATATTTACAACAAGGGTCTAAGTGTTATGAGCGTACAAATTATAGAGAATTTATGTATAATATTTTAAATGTTATGGGGTCTGAGTGATTAAGTGACAAATTTCAGGAGATTTTGATGTAATTCTCCCAAAAATAAAATGGGGGGAGAGAGTTGCGTTATGGGGTGGAAAGAAATCCATAAACATGTATGATAAAGTATGATAAGTAACAAATTTTTGGAGATCTTGATGTAATTCTCCCAAAAATAGAATGAGGTAGAGAGCTGCGTTGTGCGGTGGAGAGAAATCGGTAAATATGTATGATGAAGTCTGTCATAGCATTTACTTTCATCATAATGAATTAGAAGTTAAGTGGGAGAGGGAAGGGCTCTACCAAATGCAAGTGCATTTACTGGTCTTGATTGAGAGGTGATTGTTGGCAGATGGAAGAGCCACCCAATCCAACCATCAGAAGTGGGAGTAGTTTGACTTTTGACATGAATTCTATCCCATGGTGTGTTTGTTCTAAACATTAGGGGCGTGTTTGGATAATCAATAAAGGTAGAAATGAATTGGATTTTTGTCTCCTAACCCATTCTATCTAAACCTACTCCAGCATTTTATTGGATGGGTTTTGTATGCTATTCAATTCAAATCATTGGTTGGCAAGGAGCAATTGAACCTTAGCTTTTGTAAATATTTATCATTCTATCCATTGACATGTCCAATTCAAGAAAAATCAACACTCTCCAAATCCACCAGAACACCATCAAAGAATAAGTCTAAACAATCAACACTCTCCAAATCCATCACAGTCGACAACCCATCCTCGCCCATTAAGAAAAACCAAAATCAGATCCCACCCCACCCCTCTATTTCACCCGGTTGAAGCCATTGCTTTTGTCTTCCCAAGTCCTTCTCCAACCTTCTTATAATATTTGGCGGTTATACCACCACCACTAGAACCACTCTTTTTGTAAATCCCAACATGTCTATACTATCAACAATCATCCTATTAGTTTCATTCTACTTTTAACGTCTTTATTTACATCCTAAATCAAACTATAAGAATAATAAGTATAAAGGGCTAAATAATGAAAGAGAAAAAAAAAATGACATTTACATTCTCATCAACGAGGTAGCTTAGAGGAATTTAAGAAATATTTTTTTTCTAAATATACTAGTTCTACATTATGTTGTTATGGATGATTCTAGGAGACGGAGAGTAATTTGGTTTTGGTTAATGAATGATGCTAGACATAGATCTTTATGAAAGTCATCCTACCTATATTGGAGATGGGTACGAGATAGGATTTGTGACAAAAGACACCCAAACTCGAGTTAGACAAGTATAGAAGAACCAAGCAGTCTGACAAACTACTTTTCACTAATTTGATCATAACTGTTTGTTGGAAAGTCCAAATTGCGCACCGTTATTTGTGTTAGAACCCTAACTCGTATATCTTTCCAACCATATAGGTCACACATACTAGAAATACCTGAGTCAAATCA